AAGAGAGAAGGTTAAGATGGCGACCAGGGGGTCAGAAGTGGCTGGGAGTGGGCATGGCTTGCCCCTTAAAGGGACCAGAGAACAAAAGGAATAACAGTGGTGGCAGCACATTTCTTTATTCCCAGTTCCACAAGAGCTGTTCTGTAAGAGCTATGTCCAGGACAGAGTCCAAAGCCAGACAGAATATGTTTTTATGATTTACTTAACTTTATTATATGTGCAATGGTGTGCGGGTGTCAGATCACCCAGGAATTGGATTTATAATCACTTATGGGCTGCCATGTGCATCCTGGGAATTGAAGCCACTTCTTCAGGAAGAGCCACTGAGACGTCTATTCTGGGAATTGAACTCAGGACCTCTGGAAGAGCAGCCAGTGCTCTTAAACTCTGAGCTATTTCTCCAGCCCTTGTTTGGTGCAGGAGAATTATCTGTATTCTGTCAATCATGTTTTAAATAAACGCTGATTGGCCAGGCAGGAGGTGTAGGTGGGTAAACCAGACAGGGAGTGGAAATGATGCAAGGAGAACAGGAGCATTCTGGGGAGGAGGAAGTTGATTCCTCCCACTCCTGCCCAGATCACCAAAGCAGCAGGATGTGAGCTGCCCCACTGAAAAAGGTACTGAGCCACATAGCTAACATAGATCAGAAAAATGGGTTAATCAAGATGTGAGAGTTAGCTAATAAGTAGTCTGACCTAATGGGCCAATCAGCATTATAACTTACGGAGTCCTCTGTGTCATTTTCTTTGGGGCTAAACAGCTGAGGGGCTGGGCAGGACAAAAAACACAAACAAGCCAGCCCTTCATGTTACACTTGTTTGTTTCTTTAATTTAGGGAAAAAATAATGTATTTATTTTAAGCATGAGTATTCTACCTGCATGTACTCCATTTCACCAGAAGAGAACAATAGATCCCCACCTTGCAGTTTCTGGAAGTTGCATAAATTCCATCTCTTCAGTTCTGATACTTTTCTTGTTCAAGGGGAGAACTACCATCACCATGGGACATGAATAACATTAAAAATCAAAGTCCCCTGGCAGAATTTCATCGCCAAATGCATGACAATCCTGCATGAGACCACCCTGTGGCATATTTTTATTGTATATTTTTGTTTTGTTTTGTTTTTGTGTTCTCTGACTCTCTCGTACATTGAGTTTAATTTCAAATTTTATTTGTTTCTCTCAGTGTGCCCATGTCTGTCCCTGTGTGTGTGTGAAGGGGACAGGGTCACAGTTCAAAACATTTTAGTGAAGGCCCTTTGCAGACAGCATGGGTGTTGACTTCACCAAGATGGAAGCTTTTAGGAGTCTGCCTCTGGTAACCACCTTGATGAGTGCTGACCTCAGCAAGATGGTAGACACTATGAGCCATATTTTCAAGGTCTGTTTTGTTCTCAGTCTCCTGTCCTCTAGAAGATTGTGATTTGAAATCAGTGTTTTCTACATTGTGGCAATACACTATATGTGTAAAGAAAAATATCATAAACCTTTATCTTCCTGTCTAGGGTGAGAGGGTTAAAAAGAGAGAGAGAAAGAAAAGAAAAGAAATTTGGAAGACAGACTGAGCAAAAAAAAATCAAGAAAAACAGAGAAGTTCCTGTGAGGAACAGGACAAAATATAGATCTAGAATGAGAAAGAGAGAGAGAGAGAGAGAGAGAGAGAGAGAGAGAGAGAGAGAGGCAGAGTATTTCCCAAAGCAAAGGAAAATATAACCCTACAGAAATCTGTCACACAGGGAATTCAGTCCTTTTTAGGGAATTAATAGGTCTCATTGCCCACCATAAGAAAAAAGCATCCAGCTGGGTGGTGGTGGTGATACATTCCTTTTTTCCAGTTCTAGGGAACAGACTCCAAAGCTAGAGAGAAACCTTGTCTTGAAAAAGCAAAAAAATAAATAAGTAAAGTATTAAATGAATAGGTAAATAGATGTATAGACAGATAGATAGACAGTTAGATGTATAGATAGATAGATACATAGATAATAGATACATAGATAGGTAGAAAGACAACTACACAGATAGGTAGAGATGATTAAAGACCTCAGAGATCAGGGGAGGCAGAGGCAGGCAGATTTCTGTGAGTTTGAGGCTACCTTTTTCAGCAGTGTGAGTTTCATGACAGGCAAGGTAACACAAAGAAACCCTGTCTTGAAAAAATAGTGTGTTTAGTACATGCCTTTAATCCCAGCACTAGGAGGCAGAGGCAGAGGCAACTGGATCTCTTTGAGTCCGAAGCTTGTCTTGTCTATAAAGTGAGTTCGAGGGCATAAAAAGGTACACAGGGAAGCCCTATGACAAAAAAACCAAAACCCAACTAATAATAATAATAACAACAACAACAATAATAATAGATCTAAGAGTTCAAGTAATTGACTTCACCCATAATTCAAAAATTAAAAAATAAAACAAAGAGTGTGTCTGACTGATCAGCAAAAGAACTATGTGTTTCGAGTGGCTGCCACAATTATGGCATCATGAGAGGGAGGCACCAAGGGATTGAGGGAGGAAGGGAGTTGGCAAGGGCAATTTCCTGCCATCTAATTCTCTATTCAAAGACATTTCACCATGGCCACCACTTGCGTGCTTAGGGTTCTCTTTCTGTTGTTCTGTTTTTACAAACTTACCCCCCCTCTTCAGACTAAGTACTGAGTCAGAGAAAATTAAAACAGCTGTGAAATAATTTTAGAAATTCCCAATTGTATACCATTTCCAGGAATAATATTGACATAGTGATTTGTTTTGAATATTTTTACATCAGACATAAAAAGTAAAAAATGTCATTTTATTGATTTCTTTTTAAGGGTCTGTTTCACACCAGGATATTCAAATTTGCTGTGCTGAAGATGATCTCCTGATCCTTGTATTTCCTGTTCCTGAGTGCTGCTGGCATGACAGACAATGGCTGCACACTGGAGTTTTTCATGCAGTACTGAGAGCATGGAGCCCATAAGACCAAGATGAAAGCATTAGAGGGGACTGGCTTCATATCTGGCAGATGCAAGTGAATCTCTGGAGCTTGAGGCCAGTCTGACCTACAAGAGCTAGTTCCAAGAACAGAGTAAAACAAACAAACAAAAAGAAACAAAAAAACCCATATGAATTAAACAAAAGAGAGAAATAGAAGAAATGTCAACTTACAAATCATAAATAAGGAAAGAAGAATCAGAATATTACTAAAAAGACAACCTGGTCTATGAAGTGAGTTCCAGAATGGCAATGGCTATTACACAGAGAAACTGTGCCTCAAAAAACTATAAAAGAAGAAAACAAAAACAAACAAAGAAAACTTTGATAGTTTGTCTGAAGCACAAATAAAAAGACAGGTCCTGTCTCCCCCCCAAAATAAATCAAGTTAAAATGTGAAATAAAACAAAGAAGGCAAATAAAGGTTTTTTTGGTTTTTTTGTTTTTGTTTTTTTGCTAAGAAACCCTAAAATGACTGAATTTAGCAATTTCTCAACTTCAACAAGAAGGTAACAGTTTCCCAACTTCAGCAAGAAGGCAGCAAATATGCATGTCTATCTATGTTGAGTGGTGGTGGCCTGTGCCTTTAATCCCAACACTCAAGAGGCAGGTGAATTCCTGTGTGTTCGAGGCCAGCCTGGTCTACAAGAGCTAGGTCCAGTACAGCTAGTACTGTTAGGCAGGGAAACACTTTCTCGTTAAACACACACACACACACACACACCACGCAAAGCACATCTAAGCAGACCAGTCAAATTGGAGCCTCACCCTTTAAAGGTTCAAGCAGGAGTTCAAGACCTTATCAAGGGGTGGTGACCTTGAACCTTCTAGTCTGAGTCTCTCTCCTACCAGGTGCCCTCAGGGGACAGGTGTGTAGCCTAGCGCCTGGGGAACAGATGATCTAAAAACTCAAAACAGCAAGCATTCAAACACAAACCAAGTAGGAAGAAATGCCTTTGGTAGTTATCCCATTCAAGAATTAGGAAAAACTCTAGCCTGGCACCTTTAATTCCAGCACTTGGGAGGCTGAGGCAGGCAGATCTCTGTGAGTTTGTGGCCAGCCTGGTCTACAAGAGCTAGTTCTGCCTGGTTCTGGTGGCACAGTCCTTTAATCCTAGCACTTGGGAGACAGACAGGTGGATATTTGTGAGTTCGAGACCAGCCTGGTCTACAAGAGCTATTTTCAGGACAGGCTCCAAAGTCACAGAGAAACCCTGTCTCGAAATACAAAAAAAAAAAAAAAAAAAAAAAAAACCCACCACCACCACCAACAACAACAACAAATAATTAAGAAAAGACAAGCAGTGGTTACATAATACTTGTAATCCTAGCACTTGGGATGCTGAGGCAGAAGGATATCAGTGAGTTCAAGGCCTGCCTCATTTACCAAGCAAGTTCCAGGTTTGTTACATAGAGAAACTCTGCCTCAAAAAACAAAATAAAACAAGACACAAAAACAAAAGAGTTAGAAAAGTGCTCATGAAACACCATGAACCAACTAGATGGCACTTAATAGCAATCAAAGGTGAAATAAAAAAGGCAGAAAATTTCTTTGATGAAATCTAACCTGTTCCCATTGTCAAAGCTGTACAGCCAGTAGAACTAGATGGAACATGTGCCCATCTATCAAATAAAAAAAAGCTAGTGTCTCACATAATCATAAAAGATGAAAATCCTATGAGAAAAACTTGAAAAAATGCAGCAGGAACTCGTGCTATTCTCCAACTTCCAGAGTTCACAGAGTTCACTCTGCCTCCTGAGTGATGAGATGATGATAGTAAAGGTGTTTGCTTCCTTTTAAGATATATTTAGTTTAATTTTAAATTTATTCAAGTGTTTCTGTATGTGTGTATGTGAGAGAGAGACAGACACACTGTTATGAGTCTGTAAGAACAAAACCTAGATGGGTCTGTAAAGACAAGTCTGGGTCAAGTCCAGGAGAAACGGCACTAGCAGAAAATGTGTGCAGTGATGATAAGAGTGACGTATAGGCAGACAGGAGTGTTAATCTGGAGTGTGACGTAGAAAAGAGTGAGGTTAGACTGAAGAATAGTATAAAAAGGGAGGCAAAAAGACCAGGAGGCATTCTCAAGATGATCTGCTAGAGACTCTGTCGGAGAGGCGCCAGAGAAACTATACAGCATCGAGAATCAATCAATCCATCAATCAACCAACCAATGAGACATTGGACCAGAGATCTTTCAAGAGCCAGAGAACAAGCTCTTGCCTGCAAATCAAGACTTGCTGATCCAGAGGTCTACGTTGAGAGCCATGAACCATCATCAGGTTGTACACCCCAATGCCTTATTAGATAGAATATAGTAATGCTTGCCTAGGATTTAGAAATATATATGTGCTTGTGTGATATTGCTTGTGTGATATTATATCCTTGTTTGTGATGATGACACTTGCTTATTAGCTGTGCCAGAACAATTGTAAGATCTTGAAGTGCCTGCACAATAAATGTAGTTCGGACAAAGCAGAGAACTGCTATCCTGAGTGTCAGTTACTTGCAGACCTCTAAGTAAGGCCAGAAGGCCCACTTAGTAGGGCTCATGACACACACACACACA